AACTGAGATTGATTGTTTCCTAGTTAGTATTGATGTGATCAAAGCAATTCTTCGGATGTACAAAGTAGTTCAATACTATGTATGGATGAAAGTAAGTAAACTTTTTATTTATGCCATTAGCATTATGAAAAGCGAGCAATAAGGAGGAAAGAAAAATATGTAAAGTGAGAAAAGAGAGCGATAGTCAACAATCACAATCGCCCATAAAAAAGAATCCTTTCAGATTTGGCATTCGTTTAACCTCATAAAATTGTTCTTCCATTACACGAAAATCGACTATTTCCTAAGATAGTTTCCACATCTAAATAGATTTGAAACTGGATAACGCACAAGTTATACGAATAGAAAAGCTAGTAGGGTGATAAAGAAACTAAAAACTTCGATTATTCGAGTGTGGATGTGAGTGTGTTAGTTTCTTTTTCAGCCACACTCGTGCATCCTAAGCAAAAAATACAACTATTTTTCTCTCATCAGAAATTCAAATCTCTTGATTAGATAATAAAAGTCCGTCCCAAAAAATAGAAACTCTCGTTACATTGAAGATTCTTTTCAACAAAAACTAGAAGTATGAACCATTACAATGCATGTTTTCGATGACAAACTGTGCAGTTTTTCTAGAAAATCGAAGTCATTCAGTGTATGATGATTGAATGATGATCAATCAAACGAATTTCTATTTTCATTGGTAGTAAAAGTTGACATTGCCATCAAAAGTTCAATAGGCCCACGTATGTAATAGATAACTTAGAATTAAAATGAATTGACTCAATAACGGAATTCCACAATAAAATGTCATTGTTGGTGGAGGTGACCAAATGGAATCGACTCATTATTCTCATTTGTTTCGTTTCAGTCGATAAGACGATCGTCGAGTCCGCAATTGAGGAAATAGTCGAATTTCAAGTTTTGATCCAATGTATTCACTGTTGATTGAATGTAATTTTTTATTTTTTATTATAAACTTAACTAAAGTTCCTTTCTCTTGACGCATGTTTCATTATGAATCGATTGTCGAATAATATTGTCTCGATTTTAACGAGAACTTCATTGGTTTTTTACTTTACTTATTTGAAAATTTAATTTTTCGACTCAAAAGAGTTTAAATAATTTGATTGAATTGAACTAACTTTATCAATTTTTTTTTTAATTTTCACTTTAACTGATGGTCCTAAGACCCTAACAGTACAAATAGTATGAAGAAGAGAACAAGAAATGAGAAAAAGAAAAAAAATCACATGAAGAACAAGAGCATAGAACAAGAGTAAAAATATCATCAATATCGTAATATATAAGAGAATGAGAAGAACGATTGGAAGAGCACCACTGTAAACATTTTTCCAAAATAGATATATGTTGTACATATCTCTTAGACCGATGCAGACCTTTTATTGGAAATTCTCTTAACAGCTAAGCTTTTCTAAATCGATTTAAATTCGCCTGCTCTAATAACAGCTCGCCATCAACTGAATCAGATAGTGCAGTGAGGGTGTGGGTGTGGGTGTGTGGCTGTGGCTGTGGCTGTGGCTGTGGCTGTGGCTGTGGCTGTGGCTGTAATCTTAATTCACCCACACCCACACCCACATCCACAGCCCACCCACACCCATCTTTATTATTATTATGTTATTAAATATTTTCATTTCAAATGGTAATGTTTGGATGAATGAAATGAATTTTGTTTTATTGATCAATTGCAAAAGAAAGGAAATCTTTTGTTACATATTTGAAAAGAAATTAATTTGACTGAAATGATCACAGTTAGATCAAATTTTTTCTGAAGGAAACTTGATATCCCAAAAAAAAACAGGCAAAAATCTTTCTCTATTCGAGAGAAAATTCAGTTTTCCTAGTAAAGTGTAGAGTGATATTAAACTCATCGGAATTTCATTTAAACAAACTTCTTTGGGTATCAAAGAGAAATACTAGGTAAAATATTTTGACAAGTAAAATAGTTTTACTAACAAAGTGTTGAGTGACTTTATTGGAAGGCATTATATACTATGACTGTTGGATACATGGATGTAGCATACCAAAATTGGCTCTAATATCGTGAACTGGCCTCCGATTGCCAGTTTAAAACAAAAAAAATAATCTTTAGAGAATCAAGTTTGTCTAGAATATAGGATTTCCGATAAAAAATAGGAAAAGTATAGGATTTATTTTAATTTATTTCTGCACAATTGCCTGGTTTTATTAATTTCTTGGCTAGAAACTTTTTCTAATATAGGTACCATGAGCAACTCGGCGTTATATGGATTCGTATCTAATTTCTATCCATCGAGATAAACAGTTAATTTGAATATCATTATAATGTTTTAATAATAAAACTTTTTTCACAAATCAATAAATAATAACAAACTAGGTTATAAATTTTGAAACAATCGACAAATGAAAAAAAACACAAATGGTATTTTTCATAATTCAATTTGACTTATAAAAGTAATACTCGATTACAGGTATTCTGGAAAATATTCGGAGACCTCCATGTCTTTTTAGAATACTTGCGTATACAAAGCTATAATAAAAAGTCTGAAGTAGTACAGGATCATTTTGTAAACGTTATTTTTTTGGACTCTTTCATATTTATGGTGTGAGACAATTTCTCAGTCAACCCATTAAATAGATGAAAATAAAAGTACTAGTTGTTTAAAATAGATGTGGTCGTAATACAGGAAATTGTTCAAAACATATAACTGCACACCAAATGTGTTGTTCAACCTCTGTGAAGACTATAGCACAACTTACAGGTTTTCGGACGTTTTCTACTTTTCTCAATAAAATATAGGTAAAATGAGAATTTTAATCGAAACATAGGACAAAATAAAGGATTTCTCAAAAATATAGGTATTATAGGAAATATGGGTCGAATCGCATCCAAATAAATGTGTTGATAATTTTCTTACCACAGACAATTTTGATAAGCCATCCTGTCATTCTTCCTATCCTAGCAACACAAAATTTAGCTTTCAGCAGAGAGTTGACGAAACTACTTTTCACTGATTTTAATATATTAATGTAAGCAAGTATGATGTTATTGTGTCGGTTACCTAAGCGTCTACGATGTCGTTGAAAAAGAATCTCAAATTATGAGTCATTCTTTTTCTTTTCTCTTCTATGTTCTTACCTTATCAATCGACAAGTAACACGTTTTTTTGCATTCATTTTGTTTTTTTTCACATATTGCTTGATGCAAGACTCATTGGTTCGTTCTGACAGTATTTAGTAAGTGTAAAGCAAAAGAAACTCGTTTAAATGAATGATGCAAAAGCTATGTTTTTATTAGTAGATTATTTACGAGTCTCTTTAGATACACCATTTGACAATTGAAAAAGAGTCTTACATTTGTCAATGTTCAAGCAATTTGAATCGTCAAATAAGAAAACGTCAGTTAATTTTAAAAAAAACCGATTAAAACGAGTCTAATTCCTTTTTAGTGTTAACATTGTGACAATTTTTGAAGATTTGTCGAATGAATTACTATTTGATATATTCGAATATCTTGATGCTTATCAACTTTATTTAACCTTCGGACAATTGAATGGTCGTTTCAATTTGTTACTTGCTACAAGTCGCGTCCATTTTGATCTTGATCCTATTCCATTAAATGAATTTCCATCATTTACTCTCTCACTTAATTTTAATCATATTTTGTCTTTTACTTCACGAAATTTAGAAAAGACACGTTCGTGGCTTTTTGACAACAATGAAGTCTTGCAGCAATTTTCTAAAATTCGTGCACTTACTCTATTCGACGTTACTTATGGAATTATTAATCGGTTACATGAACGTCTTCCTAGCTTGAAGAGTACACTTATTTATGCCAATATTGCTATTGCCGGTATGTGGAAACTTACATATGTCTTCCTCTAGAATGAAGTCTTAATTGAAAGATTTTTAAATGAGAAACAAAAAAAAAACGAAAAATATTTCTTATCATATTGAAATTCGAATTGGTTCTATTATGATTTTTTGAAATAACTAGTATGACAAACCTATTCTATATTATCGATGTAGACACGACAAGTACAGCCAAAAATGCCCATAAAGATGAATATATTTATTTCAAGCATTGGTGTCCAACACATGAATTCTGTTCGAATAAATTTTTCGTTCTTCGTTATTTGATCATGAATACAGATTACAATCATCAAGCATTCGGCTGTTTAACTCCAACAATATCAACAATCAGATATTTTCAGTTAGACTATGTTTATTCTATTATTTGGCTTCTTCATCTCTTCCGATATTCACCTCAACTAAAAGTATTGCATGTAGAACAATTCTGCGGTGTATTAGATGATGATGATCGTCAAAATCGTTATCCAAGCAAGAAGCCAATCATATTTCCATGTGCTCTCAATATGCATATTCTTGTTCTTAAGAGTTGTTATTGTGAACCAATTTCTATTGAATATATTCTTCGTGCATGTCTATATTTAAAATAATTCTATTTAAATTCTACAGTGGAGTATTCTAATTATAATGATACGGTTCGAAAACAGATATGCAATCCTATATTTTGGCAATCAATGATAGATCAGTGGGGACAACATTTAATCAATCTGAATATAACTATCAATGGAGACGATTCGTTTATCGATGAAGATCTCACTACTGACTTTTGGCAACTTAGATCATGGAAAGTGCAAACTTTACATTCGCCACCTTATTTTATTATTCAGACTCAGACTAATGAAAAAATTCTCGACCATTCTTTGTTATCTATAGTATAAATGCTAAAAAACTAGTTTTACAAATTCTAAATATTTAATTGAGATGAATTTCTCAATGGTGAGAGGTTCGTTCCTGCATCATCGTCGATGTTTTTTTTGTTCTACGTTCTCTACCTCCAGTGTCGACTTGCGGAGTACGATGCACAACATTACTTCGTTGCTTGGCTTTCTTTTTTTCTTCTGTTATGGTTTTTTTTTGCACGTGGTTCTTGCATCACGTATAGTATAAATATATTTCGTAGTTCTTTGCATATTTATTTTCTAGATAAAATGAAACGTTTTCTTAAGATCATCTTTGGATCATTTTCATTATTTATTGCATTGATTGCTGTCGGATTGGGTTATCTAAAAACGAATACTATCGCTCGACAGAAATGTAAGTATAATCACAATCAATAATATGTTGCAACTTTACATATGATCAAATCTAAAGGATAGATGAAAATTGAATGAAACCTTAGGGCACTTACAGTAGCGAACAAAAATCTTCATTCATCTAAAACTTAAATAATTATCAATTCATCGATGTATTTGATAAAATTCTAAGGAGAGAAACTCTTTTCTTTCAATATTTTGTCGAACTAGCAGAAGTTAGTCTAATTTTAAATGGCTTGTATGATCAAGACTTTATCTCAGCTTGTTAACAGTGAAACAGTTGCAGGGACGGTGCGAAGGAGTCGGGGCAGGGTAGAGTCGATCCACAATTGGAGAGAGAGAAAAAAAACAAAAACATTCTTTAAGTTAGCTGCTTTCATTCAAAAAATCTCAAGAATCGGAGAAAATTCTCTGATAGTTTCCTCCAAACTTAGTGAAAGTTGTGTAATAGATTTCTTCAAAAGCATGGAAAATGGAATAGGTCTTATAATATCGAAAGGAAAAATCTCGAAACAAAGTCCCAAATTCAGACATATTCACGAGATATTTCAGACTTTTTTCTTTTGAGATTTTGAGATATTACAGGAAAATTGTCTAATATATTTCTTCAAAATTGGAGAAAGTTGACTCACCAAAATTTTCATATCCGGAGAAAGTCCGAGCCAAAATTTCTCAAAGCAGGAGATGAGCCCCGGTCGCGCCGCCCCTGAACAATTGACAGTTCAGCAAAATATCTGATAAAGTTCTAGGTGGTGGAGGCTTTTGTTCGCTATGATATTCGATCTCTTTTCAAAAATAATAAAGTACGTCATTCTTTAATGCACGAAAAAATTCGTCGAAAATGTTCATATTATTTTTGATAAAATATAGAGATGTTTTGCTGATCCAGACTAATTTCATTTCTACTACATAACATAATCAAATGGAACATTGCAGAAGGCAAGAAAAAGTCTGGGTTACATTTCAATGAGTAATTCGTTTTATATGCTTATTTTTATTGAATTTCGGATAATTGAATAATATCTTAATTTGTTTTTCATCTTTTTTAGTTTTCGCTGGATTTTTGAATAAAATCTCCGATGAAAATAATACAGCCATGATGGCTCTTCGATGCAATGAAGTTCTTAGCCATTCACGAATTCATGGCCATGTTTTAGAAATTGGTGCCGGTACGGGAATCAATTTAGCATGTTTACATAACAATACACGTATTATTGATTATATCGGTATGGAACCGAATACACACATGTATTCTTATATTCAAACTGCTATAAAACAATGGAATGTTCCGTTTGAAGTGCGCTTATCAAGTAATTCAGCTACGGCCATGACCGATGTCGAATCGAATAGTATTGATACGATCATAATGATATTTGTACTTTGTAGTGTACCCGATCCATTATCTAAAGAACTTCTTATTGAAGCACACCGTGTTTTGAAATCGGGTGGCGAACTACATTTATTAGAACATATTGCAGCGGATTCAAATATGAAACCAATGATGTATGCATTTCAGAGATTTATTGAACCCGCTTGGACTATTATTGGTGATGGTTGTCGTTTCAAACCGACAACAAATTATTTAGATCAAATGAAAACAATCTATACAAAAGTTTCTTACCAAAAGATCGAAATACCTATTCCAATTATTGTTGCCAGAGATGGTATCAAAGGAGTGCTCACCAAGTGAACAATATTCTACTCTTCTATATTCATATAATTTTCTTGATTATCTGTTGTTGTTTTTTTCTTATCAAATATCAATCGAACTCTTGATTAGGGTTGAAGAATCGACATTAACCTGTGATAATTATTTTATGATGAATAGTTTTTCAGCTGCCATCATCCTCGAGATTGTGATCAATCTCGAGGACGAACTTTCAAGACAACGATTGAGATGTAAAATTCGATGAAGTTGTTTGTATTGTAAATAAGAATATCGGATTGGCCATAATGAATAGCCGCATTTTGCATTTCGTTTTTTCATCATTTAATATGCTTCATCAAATTGATCACAGAAAATTTTGCTTTTTCTCAAAACTGGGGTGTGGGTGTGGGTGTGGGGTATGGGCGTGGGGTGTGGGTGGTGTGGGCGTGGGGTGTGGGTATGGGTTTGGGTGTCAGTGAAGTGAGTACCCACACCCACCCACCCCACACCCACACCCACACCCACACCCACACCCACACCCACACCCACACCCACACCCACACCCACATAAGC